TTATTGTCTGACAAATATATAATATTATATTCTTTCCGTATATGATATTCTATAAATATATGATTGTAATATCCCTAATGTGCCTTATTTTATTTGTTTCAAATAGAATACATTACACAGGAAATAAAAATATTAAAATAAATTACTGAATAATTATAATATGTAATGTATATTTATCTATACTTAATATTATAAAGAGGTACAGTTTGTGAGTTTGTGATGTTGTAGGGGGTAATCTCTGGATCTACTGAAACGCTTTAGATGAAATTTGGTAAGAAGATAGTTTGAGACCCTGGGAAGGACTTTTTATCTCGGAAATTATCTGTTAAGGGGGTGAAAATGGGGATGAAAGTTTGTATGGAGAAGCAAGCTATATTTTAGTGTTGCCATTATTATATTTATAGCCATAAAGAAAAAATCATAATATATTAATTATTTTAGCCACATAATTGAAATATGTGTAATTTGAAAAAGTTAAATTTAATTAAAAATAATAATTTTAATTTAAATTTGTTATTATTTAAAAAACAAATTTTAAGCAACACATTACTACATACATTTACAAATGAAAAAATGATCCCGTGACCATGATTGCTGTAAAGCATTCGAAACGTCGGGAACCAAAAATCAAAATAAATTTTTGAAAAAATCCGAAAAGATAGTTTTATTTAAAATATTTAATATTTGTTTTATTTCAATCGATTCATAAATAAAAAGTTATGTTAATTTAAAGAATCACCTAGGGAGGAGCCCGAGTGAAGCGAGGGTGAGTCGCTAGTCGTTATTGTAAATAATACGAACATAAATATATAATAAAATATCTTTATAATTACAAGGTTAAAATGATAAAATCGCAATATAAGAATATAATCGATCATAACTTAATTAGGTCATTTTTGCAAAATATTAGACTCCACCTATCCAATACAAATAAAATTAAAAATTTGTTAGTTTTCCGATTAATTCTTAAAAAAAAGTTATACATATATTCAGTATATTTAACGTTAAAATTGATAATTTTCGGTAAATTAACATTTAATGCGCAACTCACTGTAACTGTACCGTAAACATAAACTCAAAAACGCTCTATGATATCCAATTCTAGATTAAAGATAACAATTTACATTTAAAGGTATTATAAACAAATATTTAACATAATATTTCAATATCGTACGGAGTACGGTCTTATTTCAATATGGGTTATCCTTGGGCTTATGTTATCACGTGATCAGAAAAGGACCCGACGGCGACGGGTGACAAACAAAATTCTTGTTCGACGTTTATGCAACATCATGGCTCGTAAATAGAAATGCGTCGATTACTTACATTTTACAAGAGTTTTTTTTTCTGGACTGTACATACTCTTCTAACGGCCATCATCCCTTGGATCATCCATATTTTAATTATTTTCAACCCTGGAAAAATAATTTGTTTAATATCATGCATTCATATAACGTGAAAGTTGTATAGGTAAATAAGATATATAAAAGTATACCTTTTCTCAAAGCTTATTTCATAAAAGAATTTCTACGTGTTAATAAAAAATCTAATCATCATAGTAAGCCCTATACACTTTACGTTACGTACGAGTACTTTTTTCTGTAAGTGTATTAATTATCATATGTGTAGAGCATTGATTTTCTTTATTCATTTTGTTATTATTATTCCTCCTCCTTGTTATTATTACCTTCCCTCTGTCACCCTATCTCTTTAACATTAAATATGAATATATAGGACAAAATGTAATAAAAATCCAGAGTCGAGTCTACATCTTAATTTGATCAAATATCCGATTCGCGTCTTTGTAATCGATACGTAAATATTCCAATCGAACAAATTCTCTAGACAAGGCACTGAACGCCGCGATCGAAGATAACAACACTTCAATTTTTTATGAATTCGTATCCACTTTTTATTCATTTCCTTTCATGATTATTCGATAAAGCTCGCCGGTTCAATATATTACAGAATCAATCTGTATATTCATTATAAAAATATTCAGGGAGTTGTCATGAGTAGGAGTTTTATGAAATAGATTAATAATCACTATAATGAGTGAATAAATTTGTGTAACCACGATAGACCGAAGACAATACTTTTACGGTGGTATGAGTAGGGAGCTTGGTATGCGTAATGGTAGATCGAATTTCTTATTTGTTCACGGAATCGTTAACAGCACCTTCATGGTTGTTTATAAAGAAAACAAAACCCGTTAGCCCACGGAGGGTGCTGCGGACGAGGCGGCACGGCCCTCCCTGTCTAACTCGCAAAATCCGCCATAAATATCAAAATAAATTTAATATCGCTATTGTTACGCTGTATGATTAAACCTTCTTTGAGTGATATATGGTGAGAATAACTAATATTTAAATTAGTTATAAACAATATTTAATAAGAGTTATTAATTTTTAAGTATTCTATATTTGAAATTATCGTTAACATATTTATAAATTTATATTTATAATATTATATATATATATATATATATATATATATATATATACTAAAGATATTCAAATAATAAAATTTACAATACTTAAAAGAAATTTATATTAATCCATATTATTTTAGACCTTTAACATTTTGTAAATTACAGTTACAGAAAAAAAATCCTTTGAAAATCTTGCTTGTTTGATTAAATAGGTCACATCGCTTCAATTTCGCCATTTCTGGGTCACGCGTAGGTTTAATACTTTCTCTGAATCCTTACAGAATGGGCCACGTGTAATTTGAGATTTTTGTAACCGTTTGACAAACGTATTAAGAAAAAGAAATATATGACACAAAATCAAAGTTAAATCTATCTATCATCATAACAATCCTTACGTATGGTTTAAGGATAACTAAAAATCCAGGGTGTTTGTTTGGAATTTTACCATATCTCTAAATCTTATTACACGATATAACCATGTACATACCAAAAAGTCGATGGCGCGTGAACGAAAGTCACGCGCCAAGGATTTCGTACCCACACATCCCGGCTGTCTGTATGGTCGTTTTGCCTGATCATTCTCCAGCACTGCGCTTTTAGTTTTGTTCTATGTTTTATCATGAAGTATTTTAGATCTTGCGATTATTATCAAATTAATAATTAAATTTCTTGTAACGTATCTATGTACTAATATGGCATTAATATAATTCTCACAATAAATAAATTATTATAAAATAAACTGACTAGAAACGTCTACATCGTACCGTCGCGTCGTACGTCATAAAATATATGTATACATATATATATTTAGTCATTGATAGGACTACTATCATAAATGCAGAGGTCTGTATGTATGTATGTAAATATGTATGTGTGTGTTTGTATTTTATTGTTACATCTAGATTTTATAAAAAAAATGAATAAAGTTTTAAAAAAGCTTTAAATGATTTTTTATTCAATAAGGTCCTTAAAAAATCACTTAAAGCTTTTTTTAAACTTTTATTTTAGATAAAGAATTAATTTTTTTTCGTAATTATTAATTATTAAAAATATTTTGTAATACAAATAAATTACACTATTTATTTAATTTTTCTTACAAAAATGTTAACATTTTCAGTAATAACCTTAATAGTTATTTTAAATATCGCAAATAATATAATTACTTACTTATAATATAATATATCACCCCGACCGTAAACAAGTAAACTTCGCGCACTTAGCCTTATATAGTAAATATTTCGCTATGGATAAATAACATATTTAGATTAGATAGTTTTAGTAGCACTACAAACTCATATCCCCCATCGACCTTCAATAAAACGAGAATGTGAAAAACAAATCTACAAACACCCCAGTCAAAATAAATAAAAGTATTCTCTGATGGGAATAGGCTATAATCACAAGCACAGAACCAACACTACACGTGAAAGTTAAAAAAAATATACAAAATACTTACGATAAATGCATAATAAATAATTAAGCAAGTTTTTTAAGTTGATTCAAATTGAATATCTAATGACTTCCCACACAATATAAAATTTATGTTATAATATTGAATGGTAACCACAGGAACTTGATATACAAATTTTTCTTCATCACTACATTGTCGAATATCTGTCACATATATCAGCATTACTGTACTGGTTGGGAAATAAAAAAGAATGAAAAATAAAATTATCATTATTAATCATAAAAGTATTGCAAAGGAACGAAAAATGTGCTTCTAACGCCAGTATTTACAGCCTGTCTTTTTTGACTCGACCTGGTCTTATTTTTTTGATTTATTTGTTGTTTATGCAGAGAATTCAAGAAAGTCATCTCAAGGTCAGTGTTTGGATTATAATAAGAATTTTTCAATAATAACTAAAATGCTTATAGAAAGTGTTCGTTTCTCAATTTGTATTATATACCTAAATATTTAAACTTACGAATTTCATTGTAATGTACGCATTCAATTTTTTTAAATACATTTCTTTGTATTAATATTAAACTTATAATTATTAAAAATAAAATATTACATTCGTAATGAAAGTTTATCTAATAGATTAAAGGTTTAACTTAAGTATAAATATTTTGAATAACATTTAGTACAGCAGCACAGAGTTTGCATACGCGGTGTCAAGATCACGTCGGTGTAGCGTCGCGAATCGCGCCACTTGCACGGCCGCGGCTCGCGGGTGTCACGCGCCCCTCCCGCGTCCCCACCCTCGCTCTACCCTCAACCCTCGCACCACGCATGCTCCAATTGTAATCTCTATAGGGATGTTCAGTGTCGATTCTGTATAAATCATAAAACAATAATATCTGATGAATTATCTTGTCTATGCTAAACGCTATCATTATTTTTTAATTAATTTATTAAATAATCTATATAATAAATGAAACTTGCTAATAAGCCCTAAATATTTACCCAATCTAATACTGTAAACTAGTCTAATGATGTAAGTTACAGAACATATTATTTCTCATATCAACCAGATGAACATACAGGGTTAAACGTAATCGGAGTCCGTGTTGGATAACTCGATATCTCGACATGAGATAGGGCGGCATTATCCGATAGTAAGTAATGCGCGCGCAGTGGCGTCACGAGGAGGGCATCAAATCGCCTGCGGAGGGCGGCCGGTCCGCGCGTTCCTTGTCTGCCGCGTGGTCACTCGACCCAACACCTCCGACGGTGAGAGGCACTCTCGGTCTCAGTGCACGACCTGCCGCGGTCACTGACCGATACCGTGCGAGCGGTCGCCGTGTCGCCCGACCTCCGCCCTTACGTACCATACGCGACCCGAGGACGTGAGCCCCTATCGTTTCCCGGCGCTGTACTTGCACTGGCAGGTAGTCCCGATAGCGTGATACACAGCTATTTCTTCAAACACCGTAATACTGATCGTGTGTCCGACTTTAATTTGTTTTTTATTGTTTTTAAGTGTTTATTATTCTCCGAAGCTGTGTTCGTAATTGTATGCTACGTGTAGCAAGGCACGAGGGCTCTCGTGTTAGTGAGTTACGAGTCTTTACAGTCGTAGCGACATAGCGTGAGTTTTTTTATGAACTGCTCCATATTTTTTTATGAATGAGTATGCGACGCAACTAATTAAACCGTGTAGATTCATATACAGTAGTAGTAGAAACACTCTGTATACTAAAAGCGTATGTTTTCGCCTAATAAATCTTACAATAATTGTGTTAGTGGCACCGACTTAACCAGGATTAAAATTAATATTACCCGATGAGTTAATTCTAAAAATTGATCATCTATTCACAAAAAAGGATTGTCCATCAAATAAGTAAGTTTTAGCACATATGTAAAAGTACATTATAATAAGCAAATTTATGAAATATAATAATATAATATATTTATTTACAAAAATATAAAATACAAATTAAAAATATAGTAATGTCTATAAATATGATATTTGTTAATATTAAAAAGAATCTTTTATTTATGCACTATTAATTGTAGTATACTTACTGTAAATATAAACAATAATTTTAATTGTCAGTTGAGTTGTTTTTTTTTTAATACCAATATGGCACATATTACATACCTATATACAAACATATTGTAATAGCGCTATAAAGTGTACGAGATAGAAAGAGAGGACTCAATGCCGTTTTCGCTTACTTATCAGTCTCTTCAAACACAAATATAATAATACATTTATTTTGTTAATTCATGTTGCGGTTAAATAGACTTAGTATATTCTAAGAATAACCTACATATAATATATTCTTTGTAGTAAACTATAACTAAAATGCTAATAATATATGTATAAAGTAAGCTATTTAAAATTATTAATCGTACCATAATTCAAGTTGCAAGAGAACGTAATATAAAATTATAGTTTTTTTGGGACTATAACACGTGCGGCGAGCAGACGAATCACCGCCTAAGGGAGTATTATCGACCAAGCTTTGAATAAAAAAAAGCTCCAAACTTGCTCGTAAAGTCTCCTAAAATTGCATTTGCAAATGTAATGAATAGGGGAATTCGATATTGAATTCCGTTTTATTTATTGAACAGCGGCGGAAATTGAAAAGTACCTCGCCTTTCGTCCGATTTCTATTTATATTGTTTGACTTGTAGACCGCATGCCTCATACTATACATGCACAAGAACGTAATCTATTTCAAGTAACTGGCAAGTTTCTTGAATGTGTGTTACACTATGGAACAAACTTTGAACTATGACTACAGTCTCTAGAAAGACACACAAACGAATTGTTTGAACAAAGACAGTTTCAGTGAATTACCGAACATGAAGAGCAAACTTTGTTAAAGTTTTATCTTATTAATATGTTAAAATTTATCACTTCACATCTCATTTATCTACTAAGATTTATAAAAGACTAGTAGAACCCGCGCCTTCGCTCGCGCTAAAACTACAAAATAACACTAAAAAATGGGTTTCATAAAAACTTTCATCCCCTATTTTACCATCTTAGGGGTTGAATTTTAGAAAACGCTGAAATCCGTGACTCATTATTTTTGCCGTACTCAATTCGTACGAAATTTCATGCAAATATGTCCAAGGAATAAAGTTTCATACAAACTTTTATCCCCTATTTCCCCTCCTTGGGGGTTGAATTTTGAAAAATACTTCCTTAGTGGATGCCTTCGTCATATAAGGAATACGTATGCGAAATTTCAATTTTCTAGCCTTAAGGGTTTGGCCTGTGCGTTGATCATCAGTCAATCACTTTTATCACGGTAATGTTATATGTAACACTAGCATTGCCCGCGGCTCCGCCCGCGTTCAGATAACCAATAACCAAATTCTTAGGTTTTTCATATTAGTAGGAGTATACTCTTACATTGAAGTTTTTGTAGTTTTTCTCAGAAATGAGAAATTTCCCCCGGTAAAAAGTATATGTTGACTCGGATTACCAGCTATAACCATACCAAATTTCATCAAAATCCCTACAGTAGTTTTCCTGTGATGCTGATGTTTTCCTGTAACAGACAGACATACAGACAGTCAGACAGACAAAAATTCTAAAAATTATAGATTTGGCCTCTGTATCGATAATAATGTTTATTTCAATAAGATTTTCCAAAAAATATTTAATGTACAGATTCGGCTTAGTTACAATTTTATTATATGTATAGATGTATAGATTACCGTGCTTTTACCTTTTATATATATATATGGCACTATTACGATAAGTTTTACTGATATATTTGTGCACCGTATTATTGCTACCGCAAGATGGTATTTTTTCTAGGTTTGTTTATTTCAATAGTAGTATTAAAGAAAATATATCTTAAAGAAATTATATTGGATCGTTTTATAATTACAACGTTTCTGACCTTATCAAAAATGCACCCGAGTGATGGTTCAATGGAAATTTTAAAAAGGCTCCGAAGTTAATTTTAATGTGTTGCCGAGTAAACAGGAATTTATTATACAACACTTGATGAGAGAATGGGGCGCGCCGTATGTTACATTTATACGATAGTGTATGAAGCGTCATGTTTGCAAGCTTTTTATTGCTAGGGGAAATAAATGCCATACTTGTAGGTTGTGTTATTATGTACAGATTTCACATACAAAAGGATATTCATATTCATACTATTGTTTTAATTAACATTATCATTCTTACAATAGAATAAAAAAATAAACATAACATTAATAAGAGCAAGTCATTTGTAGGGGTTGATTGTGGTTTACATCACTTTTGAACTCTTTTTTACTTCAAATTTGTCTAGTTATTAGTAGTAAATACAAAAACTACTTTATCCATCACACGATATTATAATTTTATTCAAATTTATCCACACTAATGGGGGACGTGAAAATTTTATAACATATCCACTAATAAGTCTTTCGCAACGAATTCTATTGCTTTGCTATGTTTATAATCTTGATTGTTATTCGTAATGGGCAGCAAGAACCTGTTCGTGGTACATTAACGGCAACTTGAACTCAGACCCCGGCATCCATTAGGTTTGACTTGAACGCAATTATGTACTCAAACTAAATTGCTGGAAAATTTGTCGATAGTTAATGGCTAAGACTAACCGTGACACGTCATGTTGGAGATTACTTGCGTTCACACGACGGTATTACCAATACCATTGGAATTTCTTTAGAATAGTATAAAAAGAGGTGTAAAAAAATCTATACAATTGTTTCTTAACAATCGTGTCACCTTTCCGGTACTAAACAATGATGAATTAAAATAATACTAAGTTCAGTACTCAAACCCCAAAAAAAATCAAAGTAATTACTATAAATATATAACACTAGTTATATCCCACGACTTTGTTGGTGTTATCCTTTTTTACCTTTATTACCGATTGATGATATTTTTTTTAAATACCCTCATTAAATCACCTGTTAAAGCTTTCATTCATTAAATTTAACATAATTTGCACAAAAACTTTAAGAAAATGCCTGACGTTTCAATAATATAGATTAAAAAGATATATCGCAACGTTTTTTTTTTGTTTTATTTAAGTTTTTGGTGACGCCGGAAAAATACCTAAATGCCAGAACATATTGTCCCGTCCCTTTGTTTTTCTAGTCCGTCACGTGTTCCAAATGAAACGACACGCACACATTGTTTGCTATTACCGGTCTAATGTCCTCGACTAATGTGCAAGCATTTCGATACAAGAACAATTTCCGGACTCAATGTTTTCATTATTAAAAACAAATCTTAATGCCTCCTGATCAAAATATATATATTATACTAGCATTGCCCCCGGCTCCGCCCGCGTTCAGATGACCAAAAACCAAATTCTTAGGTTTTACATAATAGTTTACACTTACATTGCAGTTGTTGTATTTTTCTCAAAAATGAGATATTTTTCCGCGGTAAAAAGTATCATATATGTTGACCCGGATAACCAGCTACCATCATACCAAATTTCATCAAAATCCCTCCAGTGGTTTTTTCGTGATGCGGCAACAGACAGACAGACAAAAATTCTAAAAACTATAGATTCGGCCTCTGTATAGATAATAATGTCTATTTCAATAAGATTTTTCAAAAAATATTTAATGTACAGATTCGACTCAGAAATTTATTATATATATAGATTTGTGTGATAGACAAACCAACCAGTGAGTAGAAAGCGGATGCAGACATGTATGGTCATAGAAATAAACTTGTTTTTATAGTAGACACTAGACACTCAAAGTATCAACTGTAATTATTTTTAAAGCAAAGAAGAAATATTATAAGGTATTCCCCACATTATACCAATATAATAATATCTTGTACTAATAGGTAATTCATATTTTTCTTAATATTTTTGTTATCTATACATATAAAATTCTAAGTGAGTCGAATCTGTATTTTAAATATTTTTTTGGAAAATCTTATTGAAATAGTTATTATTAATAATACGGAGGACGAATCTGTACTTTTTAGAATTTTTGTCTATCTGTCTGTCTGTGACCGTATCGCGACAAAACCACTGGACAGATTTTGATGAAATTTGGTATGATGATTAGGGAAGAACCCGAGCGGAGCGAGAGTGAGTCTCTAGTACATTTATAAAATTAAGTATCATCAAACTTTATGTATGAAAATAGTTTAAAATTTTAAACAAAAATTGTAGAAATTGTACAGCTGAGAGACATAGGACCGACGACAAATTAAAATTATGCCGTCAAAGACTCGCTGAAAGACGACCGCGATAATAAGTTTAAAAATAAACGTTATTTTGTGTGTATATTTCGCGATGAAGGCATGTATTTTTGACATACAAGCAGAAGTAAATCCGCTGCTGCGACGCGGCCCCTTTCAAAATAGTCGCGTCCGCTTCTGTCGGATGTAATATAGT